TTTTTTTTGGAGAGATTTTCACTGTAGGGCGCGTGCGCTCGCCAGACAGACAGAGAGAGACATAGAGACAGAAAGCGAGAAATCACCCCCCAGGGGGGATGGTCACGCCACAATCCCTTCTCCTCCATTCTCCTCTCGGGATCTTGGGCACGCACGCACACGCGCCCGGCGTGAGTTTTAAGCCACCGGGTCCCGGACACGAACCGCGGTCGACTACATGGGAGTCCAGCGACATAGCCATTACGCTAACTGCTGGTTCCCCATCATGACTTTTCTGACAACTCAGTATTTCCTAATTTTAACAACTGTGAGGATCTCCACCTCCATTTGTCTCTGACTACACCATCCATGTCTCGTGGGCTTTCCCTAACACCTAATATGTTTGTAGCTTAGGTCCACACAGATAACCCCGTACTCTGCTACGTAAAGTTGTTCTCGGCCGCCCTGGGGTTTGTCAGCAATTAGCCCTCATCCTGGTAGAGAAGGATTTGTTTGTATTATATTTTAGAAGGACACAGACACAAGTGGATAAACAATAACTGATCTTTTGAAAACAGCATTAGTCGTGCTCTCTCTGTGGCTTAGCAACCAGACCTTGCACACGTGGAAGGAATGGCACATGGAGACTGTGAATCCCTGAGGTTGGAGACTCAGCTCACAGAAATGAGAATAAAGGTCAGTACTGCTCAAACTCCACATAATGAAATTTTGTTATAATGGTTGCATTTCTAGGAATCACGTTCTTGTTTTGAGACAGCTGAAGACTAATTTGTTTCTCTGAAGCGAATTAGCAAGTAAACAAGAATTCTCCCTATAGCAAGAGGAAAAGGAATTTAAGAAACAGAGGCCCCCACCCTTCAGCTATTATGCCCTTCCTCTTTTTGAGGAAGAGAGCAGATTCATTGCAGTATTCATTGCAGAGAAAAGCAGGATTTTGGAACTAGAGAGGGGCGAATAGACTGGGTGTTGTAGAACAGAGTATTGTACTACAGCTCAGCGTTTTCATTTCACTCCCTCTCCTCTCCAGTCGAACACCAACTCAAAGCATTCAGCATCTTTCAGTCTGAACCCAACGACTGACCTGTGCCTCATTTCCCTCTTTATTCCTCCATCCACGCCGCAATCTTGTCACTCTCCTCCCTTTAACTAGACGTGCTATACATTTTCATCACTGTTTTCACGCTATTCCCTCCAACTGGAATGCCTTTCTGTTTTCTTCCCATCCCGTTTTGATTTCCTCAATCTTTTTCAAAGCTAGCTGAAATGCCAATCTCTCCAGGAAGTCCTCCTTCAATTTTCCCAGTAGTAGAAGGCGTTCTTTCTCTTTGTCCCAAGGTAACCCTCTATTCTTCTGTTTCTTACTTCTCTTGACCTCAGTTTACCATTATTACGTTTATAAGTACCTTCATTTACTACGTGGTAAGCTTCTTAGGATCAGGTTCTTGTTTATTTAAACTTTGTTTCCCATAGCACCCAGACAATGTCTTGGTTATAGTAAATGCTATGCTATCTTGAATTGATTTTGTCCAAGATAAGAGAGAAGGATTTGTGGTATTAGGTTAACCATTGCTGAGAACTTCTTGAAGGAAATAAAAAAGGAAAAAATGAGTCATCTACTGCAATAGAGGATGGCTTCTTTTGATCAACCTCTCACAGCTGCCTGCTGTGGCTAGGATCTTACCTATGCAACACTCTCCTGTAGTTTCCTCTAGATCAGCTAGTGACTGCATGGTAGCACTGACTGTAAGAATACGCTCCCAATGCTTGACTATAAAGAGAGGTGAACTGGCGCAGATGCAGGAAGGGGTGATGGAGATGGATCGAGGCAATTCAGCTTCCCCATAATCAGGGAACACAGAGGGGAAGACTGACCAAATGTGTTTCAGTGGGGCTCAGATTGCTTTTGTCTTGATTAATCCCTGGAGGAAATAGGTTTCCATTTCTATAAAATGATTATTTTCTTTGCAGCAGCTGCTGCTGGCCAACACCATACACGTGCAACAACTCTCACATGGAGAATGGCTCAAGCCTCCTTACCTCCTACCTCATCCCACCTCCTAGGTGAAAGAGCACATTAGAAGTTTATAGCTTAAATTTATTTTGTTTTATTCCAATAAGGGATTAGGAAAAGAACCAGAAATTTTCCACTGCATCTCGGTAAGTGATAACAAGAGAGAGTCTGAGTAACTGTTCATGGGTTTATTTCCCTGAAGGCATGTCTTATCCTCTGCATCTCTTGAACCTGGAGAGTATTGTTCATGATAGAGGTTCTGTTGAAAGTGTTGACTTAGGGGCTGGCAGGTGGTGTGGTAGTTGGGGCACTGGACTCCCACTTGGCCGACCACAGTTTGAGTCCTGGACCTGGTGGCTGACTTTCTCACTTTCCCTCTTTGTCTCTCTCTGTCTGGGCAAAATAAAAAATAATAAATAAAATTAAATAAATAATTCTTAAACAAAATAAAAGGCAAGGAGTTTTCAGAAGGCTCCTGTAATAAAACTGATATATATGTAGATATATCTATATCTATATATATTTTTAAAGGTGTTGGTTTACTTACCTGTTGAGTATTGTTAAACCAAACTATATTGGCCTGAGAAGGCTTCTATATACACTGCTTCCTCTAAGGAGCACTTCTGCCTCCTCTCCCTTTTCTTTCTGACTCTTTCCACATTTACATACCTGCAATTAATGAATTTGTCTTCGAACCTCTGCATGATAGAGGATCTGCTTCTGTTTCCACTTATTACATTGTTTTGGAATTATTTGTTTTATGCCATTCAGTTTTCTATGGAGTATGAACTATTTGGGGAAGCAGAATGCTGTCTTATTGATTTATTACGGGGCATGCCATTAAGTATCAATATCATGGACATCTGGAGTTTGATAATGTCTGAAGTTTGACATATGCAGTCTTCAAAAGTTCATGAAAATGTCCATTATGAGAAAACTACGCATGGATTTTTGCATCAAAATAATCTTGTGTTTTCATTCCATTTCTCCAAGAACTTTTGAAGTCCCCCCTTCTGCATTTTACTTCATTCTCTTGAATTAAGACAAAGGGCAGGAGGAAAGAATTGATTAATGTGCAAAGATACTGAAAGGTATGATCATGAGATCGGGGAAAATGTTGACACACTCCCTGAATACTGTTGAAATTCAGGGCTGTGAAGTGCATGGTAATGAAGTATAATACAGACTGTGTGAAAGGTTCAGGGAAAAACATAGGGGCCAGCAGGTGGCATGGTGGTTAAGGGTGCTGGACTCCCACATGGCCGACCGTGGTTCAAGTCCCTGACCTGCCAGCTTGCTTTCTCACTTTCTCTCTCCCTCTCTATCAAATTAAAAATAAATGAATAAATA